ATGTGTCTTCTTCTCTTGTCTCTTCTTTTCAAAATGTGTGTTGACCATACATAGCTGTCATGTGGGCTGAATCCATTATGCATTAGTCCTGGAGTTTATGCAGAACAAATGTAGACTATTGTGTAATGTTGGAGGTGCCAGCGAAAATGGCAAGAGCCAATTTGCAAAGCAGATTTTATGGCAGCATTTGTAAAAGCAAGAGTAAACTTATATGAGACTGGTATTTTTTTTCATGTCAGGAATGACTTAAGAAACTGCAAGTTGCTTCTGGTGTGAAAGAATTGGCTGTCTATAAAGACATTGCTCAGGGGACACCCAGATGTTTTACTTATCCTGTGGGAGGCTTCTCCCGTGTCCCCGCATGAGAAGCTGGAGCTGATAAATCCCAGGATTTGAACCGCTGACCTTTTGGTCTGCAGTACTGCCGGCACAAGGGTTCTCAACCTGTGTGTCCCCAGATGTTTTGGCCTTTAACTCCCAGAAATCCTAACAGCTGGTGGACTCGCTGGGATTTCTTGGTGTTGTAGACTATGTCAGAGTTTGGCGGTGCACAGCAGAAAGGAATGCTAGATCAGCAGACACTGTGTTGCAAAATAAGGACTCTGCAGGCTTTGAGTTACAAAAGAAACTAAGTTTACTAAGCACAATCAATAGACACGTCTTACTACAGTGAGCTACAATTCAGGAACTAGTCAAAATGAAAGTCTCTTCATATCTGCTTATCTCTTCTTGCTGAGACTGGTTACTCCCTTCTGTTCCCAGCAAGAGCAAACCTTATCTTACTTCTCTCAAGGTCACATAATCACAGCCTCATGGTATGAACATTCTGCACAGCATTTCTAATACACGGTGGAATCCATCTTGGAAATACATAGAAGCACATTTAAAACACATACATAACTAAATTAATCCTGACAAACACTTGGGTACCCACAGGTTGAGAACCACTGGTTTAACCCATTGCGCCACTGGGGGCTCCTCGGTATTTACTGACTCCACGGCTGCATGGAAATTATGCCACCACTAACTTAAGAAGGAGGGCAACTATAGCTGCCAATTGCTCTCACTTCCCACTATGGCTTTTCCACTAAGCATATAAATCAACCATTCGTACCTCCTCTTGGTATATAAAATTGAGTGAGCAGCACAGACCATCAATTGACAATAGTTTGTTCTTAATATTCAGTATCTTTTGATTCTTTCTTCCCATATTCCCTTCCTTCCCAGTGGATGCTATTGTTCTTTTAACGTTGCAATTTACTAAAATTAAGTAAAACATACTAACTTTGCACTAAAACAGTATGAACAGCCATAATATGCTCATCCTTAATTGCATCATATACCTTGGTGGTATCTCCCAGAGCCAAATAGCACAAGCTGCAGAAGAACTAAGAATGGACATAACTTTTTTTTACTTTCACCCCTTGGTCTCTCTTTGTAGCCGAGAGTGGTGGAGCAGAGTAGCTTTTAAAAATAACCTAACCCCCTTTTACGGTGCTGGGTTTCTCACCCAAATTGCATCCTTTCTGCCTCCTGCTGTGATGAGCTCCAGCAGGAGGGGGAATAGATTGGGAAGACAGTGTCAAGGGGTTGGCCTAAAGCAGCCCTGGCCCAGCGTGACTTCCCCAATCAACATCAGAAGCCTCCTCCGATCCCTATGGTAAAACTATATGTCAGGAGATCTTGTCACAGATCTTAGGTGCCTCATATAGATTGACACAAGTGCTCTTCTTGCACTAATGTAAGGGGACACAAGAATTGCAAAATTACATCTAGGTGGGTTTATATTTCTGAAACACCAGCCACTCATTTTTAAATGTAAATTGCAATTGATATTGAGGGATGTTTCAAAACTGGTGTTTCATTTCTCTTTTTAAATATGTGATATACATGTTATATAGTTTTAACTATGTTTTAATTAATGCCGTAAAAGTGTTGGTTTGATTGTGCGGTGGTCAGTGCCGATTAAACATTTGCTCCATACTGATTTGGCTGTTTTGTGTTCTGTTTTAAGTGCTTTCAGTCCAGTTTCGAAGAAGGGAGGATGCCAAATACATAAATAAAGGAATAAAAATTTGTCCTGACTTAATTTTTTTTAAAAAATAGGCAAATTCAAAAAAATTGTATCTATTTATTTACAGCATTTATATTCCGCCCTTCTCACTCCGCAGGGGACTCAGGGTGGATTACAGTGTACACATATATGGCAAACATTCAATGCCAATTTTGACTTACAGACATACATAGAGGCTATTTAACTTTTTCTGGCCGCCAGGGGAGCTGTCACTTTCATCGTCCATCTGCGACGCTGATGAAGTACTTCCGCATTCCCCGCATGCTTCCCCACTGGAATGCTTTGCTGGAGTCTTCTTTATGGCCTCATAAATTAGATAATTTAGCCTCCCCACACTTTAAGGTGGTACCTAATTTTCCTACTTGACAGATGCAACTGTCTTTCAGGTTGCAAAGTTCGACAACAGGCTACACAATTGGTTGGAAACCCACTCCAACCCAGACTGGCTTCGAACCCATGACCTTTTGGTCAGAGTGATCTTAATGCAGCTGACACTCAGCCAGATGCACCACAATCCCGGTGCTCCTCACTGTTCCAAGGGAAAACTTAATGTCAAGGGAAAACTTAATGTCAAGGGAAAAAGACTCTTCTGAGCTTACATAGCACTTTGGCATGCTGGAAACAGTGTTTTGGCTTCTCTGCTCCGCCACATTTAAAGTCCAGTGAAAGTGAAAAGCAGGAATAAGAATCTTCAAATATCTAACTTTTTTTAAAAGGAAAAAATTAACCAATCTGAGTTAAATACTGATTGTGCTATTCGGATAACCCAGGGCCTGGCATACAGGAATAGACATCTAAAGCGCTCTTCAAAAATGCCAGTCAGACATCTGTTTCAAGACTGTCAAAGATTGTGTCACTAATCTCTGAGACAACCTGTTCCACTGTTGAACAATTCTTACAATACGGACATTTTTCCAATGTTTAGATCTTGTTTCATGGTTGAAAAGCAAACACATGTTATCCAGAAGTTCAGTCATGGAAAGATCTTTATGACTTTATCTGTGCATGAATGCCACAGACACCTACTTCCTTCTACTTCAAGGGGAGTTTTTAAAAACATATGGTCAATTTGTCTTAATGTATATGCTTAGCAGGCTGCCGTGGCACAGCGGGTTAAACCGCTAAGCTGCAGAACTTGCTGACCGGAAGGTCGGTGGTTCGAATCCACGGGACAGGGTGAATTCCTATTGTTAGCCCCAGCTTCTGCCAACTTAGCAGTTTGAAAACATGCAAATGTGAGTAGATCGATAGGTACCACTTCGGCAGGAAGGTAACGGCGCTTCACGCAGTCATTCTGGCCACATAACTTTGGAGGCATCTATGGACAATGCAGGCTCTTTGGCTTAGAAATGGAGATGAGTACCACCCCCCAAGAGTCGGACTTGACTCGACTTAATGTCAAGGGAAAACCTTTACCTTTTATACAGGGTGAGGCAGAATAACTTCCTATTTAAAAATGCGCGCCATTCAGTCGGATGAAGATGTAGCGGAGCGCTAGTGGTCTGGTTCGAGAGGCGGGAATATAAAGTTTTGTCCTGACACAGTTCAGTCGCCATCATGCGTTGGACCAGTGAGGAGCGTGCTTTTGCCATTGAGGCTTACTTTTTGAGTGGATTTGGAGTGGCCGGTCCGCTCTCCAGATTTGGTCCCTTGTGATTTTTTCCTATGGGGTTTTTTGAAATCCCGTGTTTATGTGAACCGTCCAAGGACCCTACAAGATTTGAAGACCAACATCCAGGAAGAAATGGCCAACATAATGCCTGCTATGCTGGCAAGAGTCATGACAAACACCAGAAATCGGTTTACTCAGTGTATGGGGAATGGAGAATGGGGGATGTCACCTACCTAATTTGATCTTTAAAACTATGTAAAACAAAACTTTAGGTATGCATCTACATTATACAAAAAGAAATGTGATTCATACAATGGGTTTTATTAGGTTTTGAAAAAGGGAAGTTATGCTGCCTCACCCTGTATATTTAGCTCATTATCATATCATACATACATGAGGTCCCCCGCCCCCTTTATCTTTTCTTTATTAGTTACTAGCTTGGGAACCCGGCACTGCCTGGGTTATTTGAGAAAGGAATTGTGTATCAAGGTTGGTCTTTATCAGTTATTTATATGGTTTACAGTGGTCTCAGGAAGTTAGTGAAGGTACTGCGAGTCCCATCATCTGTGGTCCATCCTTCTCCAAACTGCACCAGGATGGAGAGTGGGTCATGGGGGCTCTGTGTGCCAAGTTTGGTCTTAATCAGTCATTGGAAGAGGGTTGCAGCAGTCTCGGGAAGTGAGTGGAGGTACTTCAAGTCCCATCATCTGTGGTCTATCCTCCTCCAAACTTTACCAGAATGTAGAGTGGGTCATGGAGCCTCTGTGACAAGTTTGGTCTTTATTGGTCTTTGTTGGGGACCACAGTGGTCTGTGGGAACCGACGGGTTTGAAAGGACTATAAATCCCATAACCCATTGTCTGTCCACTCCCAAATTGCACCAGGACGTAAAATGCATCATGGGGGTTATGTGTGCTAAGTTTGGTCCAGGTCCGTCGCTCGTGCAATTCTCTGTGACCTGTGAAGAAAGTGAGAGCCAATCAGAAAGCTGCCACATACACTTCCGCCCTTCCACCCTCCGCATACATACGTACAAACAAACATTCACTTTTATTATATATGTCAATTTTAAAATTATAAATACTGGTACATCTTTTAAAAAAATAATCAGGCAATGTAGACATCTATTAATTGAAACTTGGCCCTTTTAAAAAGCTTGTCATTTTGCTGAGATTCACCTGTGACTGCCAACCAAGTGGGGTCTGCTGGGGTTCTCCTGTTAAAACCTGCCAAATGGACTATGCATATTTAACAACTTAATTCTTTTGGTCCTATTCTAACCAGCACTTTTTTTTGCTTCCCTTCCAAAAACAGAGCCATCACGCTAGAGAATCAGCTGGTCATCCTTGCAACATCAGCAGCAGACGCTGGGTGCTACTATGTCCAGGCGGTCAATGAAAGAAATGGAGAAAACAAGACAAGTCCATTTATTTATCTGAGCGTGACAAGTGAGTACTGATGTTTCAAGACATGTTTTCTGAAATGGGCATAGTACTGAATACCAGAGAAAATGAAAGGTTTTTTTCATGCACAGGAAAGCAATATTAGTGGTGCGGTCTTATCTGGTGTATTAGCTACAAAAAACAGAAAGGAATTTGGTTTACAATGGGAAGTGTGTGGTAAACAAAGCAGAGTGAGTCAAAGAGGTTTTAAAAGCGCTTTCCATAAGATTTTTTTTTTTTAAAAAAAAATACATTTAGGTGTATTTTGAATGGAAGTCCATTACTTCTTGCATCACTGTTTTAGGAAGTTAGATTTTTCCTTCGTCTTATTTGATGGCATGCCAAACATTCCAGTAAGAAAATATTTTAGTATAGAAAGAGAAAGCTTAGCAGCTTTGTGAAACATGAAAGTAAAGTTTGAATTGTATTAATCACCTGTAATTATATTACAAGTCTTTTTGCAAGTTGATGCTGGACTAGAATCATTTCGAAATTATCGTGGGTATTGTCTTTTAGTCACTTGTATGATGATGAGGATGATGATGTATGTAATAATATTCACATGACATCTATAGGAAGGAAGGAAAGCTGTTGTTTAGGAGGAACATAATTTGTTTTTATCTTGTGTACTGTATGTGGGTCTCGCCCTTGAGATGCACCAGAGCCATAGAAAGAATCAAAACAGCAGTATCAAAGCATTAATGTAAATGGATTTTTGCTCAAATAGATATGATCTCTAAGGGGTCGCATATTTTTTTTGTATTTGAATGTGAATACTTGCTGGAGCTGCATGTTGGACTGGGTGAGTGATTTGGAAAAATGTTATTTTTTGGAATCTATTCAGCCACAATTATTTATCTTTCAGTGCCGAGGATAATGGCTCAGACCTTGAAATGCTAGATATGGAAATTAATTGTTTCGTATTAAACATTAGAAATTGGGTGATTAATTAGATTGGGAGCAGACAGATAAGATAATGTGGAGGTTTCCACAGTTGATTCCAGGAGTTCCTTCAAATTTCTCTGGCTGCTTTCCCTCAGTCTGGATTTTGCCTCCCTAGATGGACCTCAAAGCTTTTAATCTGATTGTCAAAGGCTTTTATGGCCAGATTCACTGGAATCCTGTGAGTTTTCCAGGCTGTCTGGCCATGTTCCAGAAGCCTTCTCTTCTGAGGTTTCACCCACATCTATGGTAGGCATCCTCAGAGGTTGTGAGGTCTGTTGGAAACTAGGCAAGTGGGGTTTATCTGTGGAATAATGTCTAGGGTGGGAGAAAGAATGCTTTGTCTGCTTGAAGCAGGTGTGAATGTTGCAATTGGCCACCTTGATTATCAGTGGAGAGCCAAAATCTGGTTACCAGTATTTTAAAAAAACCCTCTAGAATCAGGACAGTAAATAAAGAGCAACACTCAAAAAACAAGGGAATCCCAAGGTAGCCCCTACATCCAAAACGAGTTTGGAAACTTTTTTATTTTTGATCAACCAAGCCTGCTAACTACCTTGGAAATCCTAGGTTCTTGTGGGGTTTTTTTCGGGCTATAGGGCCATGTTCTAGAGGCATTTCTCCTGACGTTTCGCCTGCATCTATGGCAAGCATCCTCAGAGGTAGTGAGGTCTGTTGGAATTAGGACAATGGGTTTATATATCTGTGGAATGGCTGGGGTGGGGCAAAGAGCTCTTCTCTGCTGGAGCTAGGTGTGAAGGTTTCAACTGACCACCTTCATTAGCATTTGAAGGCCTGCCTGAGCCTGGGAAAATCCCCTGTTAAGAGGTGTTAAGATGTGCCTGGTTGTTTCCTCTCTGCTGTTTTGCTGTTGTAATTTTAGAGTTTTTTTAATACTGGTAGCCAGATTTTGTTCATTTTCATGGTCTTACTTTCTGTTGAAATTGTCCACATGCTTGTGGATTTCAATGGCTTCTCTGTGTAGTCTGACATGGTGGTTGTGGGTGTGGTCCAGCATTTCTGTGTTCTCAAACAGAAAGGAAGAGACCATGAAAATGAACAAAATCTGGCTACCATTATTAAAAAACTCTAAAATTACAACAGCAAAACAGCAGAGAGGAAACAACCAGGCACATCTTAACAAAAGATTTTCCCAGGCTCAGCCAGGCCTTCAAATGCTAATGAAGGTGGTCAGTTGAAACATTCACACCTAGGTCCAGCAGAGAAGAGCTCTTTGCCCCACCCCTGGTCATTCCACAGATATAGAAACCCAATTTTCCTAGTTCCAACAGACTTCCCTACCTCTGAGGATGCTTGCCATAAATGCAGGCGAAATGTCAGAAGAAGTGCCTCTAGAAAATGGCCCTATAGCCCGAACAAACCCACAAGAACCTAGTGATTCCAGCCATGAAAGCCTTCGACAATACCTTGGAAATGTTACTGTGTTGGAACCCCTGTGTTATGTTATTCTATCTTTTTATGGAATAAAGATCCTACTATTATACGTATTGGTCACAGCCTTGGAGAGAAATAGTGGTGTTCTCTTCCATGAGATTACTCCTTTGCAGCCAAGTGGTTTGGGTTGCTGCCATAAGAAGTAATATGTGATGTCACATTGACTCCCACCTGAAGTTTTGTTAAAGAATTCCCCACAAAGGCTATTCTCCAATACTGATATATCGTAGCAGAGACTTGGCTAAGCTCAGAAGTAATTTGCTTAATAACTCAATCCTATTCAGTTCAGCACAAAGCCTCATAAGGTAACGACAGACCTTGAATATCTTGCAACTTTTGCCACAGAGTCTTTATTTTACCATCGAACATAAGGTTGATCACTATTTTCTCCGAAGTTGCTTGAAAAGTCTTGAATAAAACGTGCCATATAACCCCGCTCTCATTTTTTTTCCTGGCAGCCCAAGAAAAACAGCTATACTTAGAATTTAATGACATTCATTTATAAAGCAGGCTTTAATGGTCTGTATTACATAACCACTAATGCACTGTGCAGCTCATTTTCTGATCTTAATTAACATTTGGGAATAGTCTGTCGGTAGCCATGTGAATAAAACATTTACAATGCAACACCATGGGGGACACAAATGGCATGGACATATCGAGAAGGAAACAAAATGGAGATAATTTGTAAGGCGGGTTGCAGAGTTCACACAGGTGGTCCTTTCAGGAGGCGCAATGATTAAAAGAATTACTGGGAAAATGAGATCTAAAAGTTTGGGTTTTTGTTTCTCAGCCAAGAAAGAGGTGAGGCTCTTGGGCACCGTGGCTTTGATGATACATTTGTGCCAGAAACAGCAGGTATCAGGCGAGGTGAATGCTTATTATGCTGTTAACACGTTTTAAAGTAAATATGATAAAACGAGGGTCTTGAGTTCACAGAGGAAAGGGATATTCTAAATTCAACAGACGTGAATGAATCAAAAAAGGATTTAAATCAGACAGAAATGGTCCTGAAGGTATAGGTAAAAGATGGTGGACCAGACATCAAAAGCAGCCGTTGAAAAAGAGCCTCTGCAAAGTAAACCTGTTTTAAAACATTTAGACTGTACCTGGGAGAGATAACCAGTTGTGTGAAAAATGACAGGTTTCTCTAGCATGTTGAAGGCAAAGCTATTATTTCTGGGCTCTGGCTTCAGAACATTGTGAACATCTATACACTGGAGAAGATGAATATACTCAAGCTAAAAGATAAAATGGAGTCCTGATGGCATAGTGGCTTAAACTGCTGAGCTGCTGAACTTGCTTACCGAAAGGACACTGGTTCAAATCCAGGGAGCGGGGTGAGCTCCCACTATTAGCCCCAACTTCTGCCAACCTAGCAGTTTGAAACATGCAAGTGTGAGTAGATCAATAGGTGCTGCTCTGGCAGGAAGGTAACGGCGCTCCATGCAGTTATTTTATTTATTTATTTATTTATTTATTTATTTATTTATTTATTATTCAAACTTATATGCTGCCACTCCCCTGGGACTTGGAGCGGCTTACAAGAACGGCTAAAATCTAACACAATTTAAAAACAATTTAAAACAATTTAAAAACAGCAATATAAAAAATCAAAGGCCTGTCGAAACAGGTATGTCTTACAAGCCCTGTGGAAAGCTGATAGGTCCCGCAAGGCACGGACTTCAGGTGGCAGAGTATTCCAGAGTGATGGTGCCACTGCTGTAAAGGCTCTGCGTCTGGTTGCTGTTAGCCGCAAGGTCTTGATGGTGGGAATTTCCAATAGATCTTGGTCCTCAAAAAGGAGGGATCTGTGGGGTTGGTAGGGGGTGAGGCGGTCCCTTAGGTCCCTTATGCTGGCGGTCCCTTATGCTGGCCACATGACCTTGGAGGTGTCTATGGACAATGCCAGCTCTTTGGCTTAGAAATTTAGATGAGCACCAACCCCCAGAGTCAGACACAACTAGGCTTAATGTCAGGGGAAACCTTTACCTTTACCCTAAAAGATAAAATATAAGAGATGCCTGGGTTGTTGTAGGTTTTTTCGGGCTGTATGGCCATGTTCTAGCAATCTTTTGGTGAGAGGTGATTCAATGTCCCAGATTGTTTTCCCTCTGTTGTTTTGCTGTTGTAATTTTATTAAAGATTGCTCCAGGCACTGCCAAGCCATCAAATGCTAATCAAGGTGGTCAGTTGAAACATTCACACCTAGCTCCAGCAGACAAAAGTCCTTTGTCCCACCCTGGTCATTCCACAGATATATAAACCCCTTTTCCTAGTTCCAACAGACCTCACTACCTCTGAGGATGCTTGCCATAGATGTAGGCAAAACGTCAGGAGAGAATGCCTCTAGAACATACAGCCCGAAAAAACCTACAACAACCCAGTGATTCCGGCCATGAAAGCCTTCGACAATACATAAGAGATGCCATTCTTGATAACATCATAGTTACTGTTTTCTGTAAGTGTATGTTGAAGCATTCAGGTCACCTTTACCCCTAAATCACAGTTAGCCCTTGAAGACATTTCACCCCAGATCTCAATATATTTTCAAACTTTTCTTCTGCCAACCCATTCCCAAATGGCTCAGAGAAACTGGATACTACTTT